TTAAGCAGTTTCATGATTGAAGTAGCAGCAAGAAGAGGCAGTCGTTTGTTAAGCTTAACGCAGGAATGCTTTACAAACATTTAGAGATGGACTTACACACTTGCTTTACTTCTCCCGGGGATCACTTTGTCGGAGATGAAATGCCGGGTTGCTAGCGAAGCTCCACATGCTATCCAGACCACCGACAGGTCCCGCATGCCACAGCCGCTCTATCACATGATGCATACTGCTCCGACGTGCTAACGTTCTGAGGTGAGTTACGGCGTGTTGCAAGTTTGTGAGGTGCTTTCATGATATTTAATGGATCGGATTACATTTTTTATTTTTCTCCGATATCAGATTCAGTAATTTAGGTCAGTATCGGACCGATACGTAATATCGGATCGGTCCATCTCTACACCATACATGGAGTTTAAGTCCTGCTGTAGAAAACTGGTGCCATAAGCACAAAGACTGCAGTCAAAGATGGAGCTGATGTCCACTGATGGGATAAGAAATTAATTGCTGCATGGTGTGCGTTGTTTTCTTTCACACCACAGGAGGTGCTTTTTCTTCACGTGCCCTTACATTTCCGCAAATGCGAGCAGCTCTGTGGGAAACGACCCACCTGTTGCTGGGGATAAGTTGGGCCTTTTTATCGCAACTCTTGAACGGTTTGCACAATTGATAAAATCTAATGGGATTTGGAAACAACTGTGCACTTTTCAATGATGTTAAGGGCATTGCAGTGATCCCAGGCGTGGTGTCACAGCAGCCCCATGAAGTTACACTAGTTTATTGCTGATACAAACATTTTAAAACTCTTGACCGTCCACAGAAGCTCAAAATGCAAACTTTTAATGTGTGGTAACCCTGGATTTGATTTGCTTAAAAGGTTATTCTCAACATGTCTGGAAAGAAATTTCTTTAGTGGAAGGGAGTTTTAACATCTCTAGGGATGTAAGTATGCCCACAGTTGTTTTTGTTTTTCAAGCTTAAACATGCATTAAACTTGTCTGCGTTCTCTTTGTAGTTACTGCTGTTTCTAAAGGGGTTTACTGAGTCTGAGCGCAACAAGCTCGCCATGCTGACAGGCATCCTGCTGGCCAACGGCAGCATATCAGCCTCCATCCTGAACAGTCTCTTCAACGAGAACCTCGTCAAAGAAGGCAAGGACAAACGTCTTAAGTCTGGGTTTGCAGAGATGCATGGCTCAGAAACGGTCAGAAAGCTGGTCGGGTATCAGTGACAGCAGCAGTTTGGTGGTTTCGTCCTGCAACACTGACACTTTCTGTGGTTCTTGGGAAGCTTAACATTAATTAGGGCAGTCAAATTAATTTAAAAAAGGAGTTGGTTTTGTGTTCAGAAGAAGCTCTGACCTGTGTCATCTCTGTCCAGGCGTTTCTGCAGCCTTCGCTGTCAAGCTGTTCAAGTCATGGATCAACGAGAAGGACATCAACTCTGTTGCTGGCAGTCTTCGCAAAGTTGGCATGGACAACAGGCTGATGGTAAGCAAAAACACAAGTCAGGGGCCACGTGTCGACCCATTCCTGCTGCCAGTGTCTCACTGGTGTGTGAACATCCTTCTCCTCCTCAGGAACTCTTTCCGGCCAACAAACGGAGCTGCGAGCATTTTTCGAAGTACTTCACCGACGCCGGGCTGAAGGAGCTGTCTGACTTCGCCCGCAACCAGCAATCCATCGGCGCCCGCAAGGAGCTGCAGAAGGAGCTCCAGGAGCAGATGTCCCGAGGTGACCCTCTGAAGGAGGTGAGGCCACAGGCTGACTTATTTAAATGCCTAATTTATCATAAAAGATATACACTGAGCTCTGAACAACAGGTTTTTAACACTTCTGTTTTTGCTCCACTCAGTTTCTCTGAATGAAAAAGCACAGAAACAGATGTGTGCTTCATTAGTGACTGACGTGTGTGATTAACCTCGCTGCCTTCCCTCCTTCAGATTATCGCCTTCACTAGGGAGGAGATGAAGAAGGCCAACCTCTCTGAGCAGGCCATGATCAGCATCATCTGGACTAGTGTGATGAGCTCCGTGGAATGGAACAAGAAGGAAGAGCTCGTGACCGAACAAGCCATCAAACACTTGAAGGTACGCAGCAGGGCCGAGGAGCACAGCTGTGGTTAAAGCGCTTAAAGGGATTAATTCATCATTATTAATTAATGAACCTGTGCAGGAAACGCGACTCTACGGCTGAAGGCTTATCCCGCAACCACAGCTATGTCTTACTTCAAAGTAAAAGCCTTGGAATATTTGAATTGAACAGGATTTTCAAGTTGGTGGCAGATTTGCAAAATAAAAGCCTCCCGTTTAGTTCATTGTGCCTCTAGTCCAGCAGTAGCAACAATCTCACTGCAATAAATCCCCAAATTACAGCGTCTATTTATTATTGCCAGTAAATGTTCTCTTTTCAAGTGTCTAAACATCCTCAAACCCATGAACTTCAAGACTAATGAAGACTTTATTATGGGGCTAACACATGTGGGGGTGCAAAACACCTCAATAGCATCACCTACAAAACTAACCTGTGAAATTTGATTCATTTTGTCCATCTTGGGATGTTACACATGTATCTCAGTGGAAACATGCCCTAAACCCCATTTTGGAAGGCTGGCATTTTAAAGTCAAGAGGCAGGTTTTGTAGTATTTATTGGGTCTATGGCGCCACCTACAGTATTTCAATAAAGGAGCCCCAGCACTTGATTTTAATCTGCTTGCATGAAATTCAGTGGCCTCGTGTAATATCCCAAGTTGAAAAGGCATCTTTGTGCCTTCTAAACCCAACAGGAAGTCTACAAGTATCTTGGTTGCTATTGAAACTCAGAGTTAGATGGATAAATGTGATTGGTCTGTTTGACCGACCTGAAAACTTTTAAGGAAGAAAATCACAAAGCTGCATGAGAAGCTGTTAAAGCTCGAGTACATCAATCAATCTGTCCCAGACTGTTGGTTGGTGAAAGGAAACGGCTCCACGTGTACCACAGTATTGCTCCCTGCAGCTTTACATGCTCTAATTTAGCGGCTTCTTTCTCCACAGCAATACAGCCCTCTGCTGAAAGCCTTCACCTCCCAGGGTCTGTCTGAGCTCAGCCTGCTGCTGAAGATCCAGGAGTACTGCTACGACAACATCCACTTCATGAAGGCCTTTCAGAAGATCGTGGTGCTCCTCTATAAAGGTTGGTGCTACAGCAGGAGGAAAAAGCTTGGCTGTGACAGCTTGTCTCGTCGTCTTTTAGGTTTATGAAAGGTCATTTTTCCCCATTTCCTGACTTTAAAAAGCTGTTTCTTGAATGTGCTTGGTGTCTCTTTTTTTTTTTTTTTTTTTTTTTTTTGCTACCCAAACACTAGAAAGTCTGGCTTGGCATTGTACTTTTTACACACAGCTTCAGCTTTGATTGGTCTTAGATTTCCCCCAGAGGTCCAGATTGTTTTTAATAGAGAAACTCTCACCAAGCATCAGTAAATTGTTTCTTTGAATCTTTACAAAGGTTTCAGGCTCTCCTGGTGGAAGTTTAATGTGCCCGCCCTCCTCACAGTCCTGTTTTCTCTTTCAGCGGATGTATTGAGTGAAGAGGCCATACTGAAGTGGTACACTGAAGCCCACCTTGCCAAGGGGAAGAGCGTTTTCCTCGAGCAGATGAAAAAATTTGTGGAGTGGCTGAAGAATGCTGAGGAAGGTAAAGATGGAGAAATAACCTGCACTTCCTGGGTTTTGTGTGTTTTGAGGAGCTGTGTTCAGAGCTGATGGAATATGCTCAAAACCTGAAAGGCCACTAAAAGGTTAAAGGAGCTCTGCATTGAACAGGCCAGTTAGACATGCACCTGTCACGTTGTATGATTAAAGGCATGTATAGACATGTACCTGAGTGTATTTATGACAACGAAGGAGTTTATACTATATATGAATTTGCTAAAGCTTTGTTTTAGCTTGTTAGCTGACTCAATCACAGGTTAATATAAAATTCTTGAGATGTTTTACAGTCACATGACTACTACCCACATGGTAATTGATGCTGGCATGTCAGGTAACAGAGCTCGATCGGTCCACAACTGGTTGAAGCACCACAAATGCTCTGTGGTGTGGCCATGTAATGGGAAGTCGAGCACCAGCTGTGGCTACAACCGTAGCTTGCCTCCACCAGTGTGAGTGAGAGAATGAATGAATAGTGGCATTGAAAAGCGCGATATAATTATTATTATAATAATCTGGCTGGCCATCTGTGCTAGTGTATCAGGATGTTTGTTATAAAACTCGAAGCTGTAGCTTTAGCCAAAGTATAATGCAAAATGCCTCTATAAATGGCCCTAGAGTAAGTGGCAATCTTGCAAACGACAATCACCAGGGAAAATGTTCATTTCCAAACGAGCTGTTGCTTGGCGAAATTGATCACAAGAGAGGGCTGAACCAAAAACCTGGTTAATAGTACTTTGCTTGGAAGATGCAAACTATTCCTGAGTGGCAGGGAAACTTGAAATAAGTCCAAAAAAAGTTCCTCTAAAGTCATCGCTTGCTGCTTTTTTGCAATATATTTGCAGAGTTGAGGTACAAGTTCAATTTCTCCAATTCTGGCTTATGTCAAAAGTTTCACACCCACTTGGCGAGTGGTTTGCAAGTATTTTGTCTCAGTTGCTCCTAGTTTGCAGGTTTTGTCTGTGCAATTGAGACAAATTGTCACCAATCAAGGGGTTTCCATGCAGCCTTTTTGTTACTGATTTTTACCCAGCACTAACAAACTGGCCAGAATAAAAGTTTCTCTAGTGACTGATGGTTGCCAGGCGTCACGAACAGTCTCTAATCCTGGGAGAGTGAGTATTTTTCTTGTTTGAAATCCTCTGAAACCAGATCAGCGTTTAGTCCTGATGTATTCACTGGAGCAAAGGATGACTGCATGTTGTTTGGTTTTTAGTGGCGAGTTCTTCACATGCACAGGGTGCTGGAGGCAACCAGGTAGTTGGGAAAGGTCTCAGTCTTTAAATGACTGTACAGTCATGAGAAAAAGGAGGTCTTAAATACTTTAAAGACAATCACAATCAAATCATCGTTTTACTCATTCACAAGATGTTGTAAAGGGATCAGCGTCTTGACTGATTCGTCCTCTTGTGTTTTCTCTCGGCAGAGTCGGAATCGGAGGAAGAGGAGGCGGACTAAAACCTCAATTGCCAGACGAGCTTTGTTTTTCTTTTGTTTTTCTTTTAAAAAGTAGGAGCAGGAGCAGTAGAATGTCTTTGCCCTTTTCCCTCCTTCTACATCCTGTTACGGTTTATTTATCCACAAATGCAAACAATCCTCCACCACTACCAAACGCTTAGTTTGTCCAAATAAAACGGGTCCTTAACTCGCAGTATGGAGGGCAGTGGGAGCAGAAAATGACAAATTCTCGCCTTCTCTTCCCTTCTTTGGTCATTTTGATGTAATTTGGATTATGAAAACGTGTTTGATTTTCAGTGGCTGCTGCTCATAAGTCTGAGGTTCATCTTCATGCGACTACAGCCAAAGTCTTTTCTTTTCTCCCCCTCTTTATTTTTTCTTTTTAAAATTGACTCGGCTCATTGTTTTGGCTCCTGTTCGGTCTTAAACTTCGCCTTCTTGACTTTTTGGGTAAACTTGTACTGCCTGTCGAGGTCACTCCGGTCAGTTTGTCAGAAGACACGCCCCCCTGTAAAATGCCTCGCCAGCTAACGATTATTATTGGTTTCTACTTTCTTTAATCTGATAAGCCGATTTGACTTTTTTATGAAATAAAGATTATTGAAACTGTTCTTCCTGTGCTTTGTTTTCATTTTACTTCAGTAATTGTAACTTTGGTCTCTAGGACTATGAAGCTACAAATGGTGAACCATGGCAGGTCGCTAGGGACAACTGTGACCACCTAGGGAACGCAAACTAGAATTTGGAATCAAGTTTAAAGCATTTCACGCTTTAAAGGGGTTGCTGACCAGTCTATAGACATGTCTGAGGCTTAACTGTGCAAAGAAAGCACATTCTGATCTTAAGTGGGCCAAAGGGGGTTAGATTCCTGTTTCAGTGTAAATAAGTTTACACATTTAATTTTAAAACGGAAATGCTAATAAAATTAGTTGAAAATGCACCAGAGTTGGCCATGAGCTAATTTTCAGCTGTAGTCCCAGTTTGGGTCTTGAAAGAACACTAGAATCAGAACGCATCAATTTTATATAAGGAGAAGGGACATACTGGCTAAAGTAAAACTTAACTCAGTACTGACATTATCATTCAACAGTCTTCAGTTTTCATTGAAAATGTGTTCTGATCTTTGAAACTAATGGGTGTGATCTTCCACTGTTGCACAGCCTTTACAGAAAATGCATTAAGACCAGACATCCTTTAAAGGAATAAAACAGCCCTCTCTATTCAAATGTGTAATTTGGTCTCTTTTTATCCTGGTGGTAATGAACTAAATCAATGAGGAGCTATATTGTTTCATAATTGATTTAATTAAAGATGCAAATTCATGTATTTGATAAATGCACTAAACTCATGATATGGGTTTTTAATGCATTATTATATGAAGAGTAAAGGAACTGAGCTGAACAAAATAATACTAAAATAATATGGAGGACAAAATGTATGTAACTTAAGCTGTATGAACATATTTCATATATATTTAAGTTGTCAATATTAAACTATATTACAAATCTTTTTTTTTAATTTATTTGGGACTTAAAGTTTAATTAAGAGTTGATATCTAAACATTTGACTCAGAACATCCTGATTTTGGTTTTTCCACTTGATTTGGTAAAAGATGCACGCTGTCTTAGATGCATTTAAATGAAAAGAGAATGATTCAGACGTGGTAACGCTTGTTTAGCAGCAGTTTCACTATTACATCATCTGCATACACATATTAGCTCCAGAGCAAGCAGATGGAAACTCATTAATATACAAAGAAAACAAGAGGACCTAGGATTGAACCTTGAGGAACACCTGTGGGTACGCACTTAAATATGGTTGAAGTTATTTTTTGAGCTCCTGAACCATATACAGTTTGCTGAAATACACAGAGGAAAAATTACCATTATCTGTTTTGGAGAACAATATACAGTGTCATAACAGTTTCAAATGCTTTTACCTTTTCTGTAAAAATGATCAAAGAATGAAATGATTGGCTTAAAGACTAAACTCCATTTTTGGTGTTAAAAAGTACAATCGCTGTTTAAATAAGTGAAACTGATCAGCTATCAGTTTTTCAGCTACTTAGATAATTAGCAGAATCCCAATTGGTATGTAAGTGTAACTTAAGGATTGCCTGTGTGCAAGGGTGTTTTCCAAATACTTGGGAACAATCCCTTGGAGATCAACAAATTGACCATTTCTTACAACTGGATTTACAAAAGTGTCTCTCAGATCTTTGATTGTTACTGTGTCCATAACAAAAACATCCCTGAGCAATGACGACTACTGAGTTTACAAATTAATAGTTAAAAGATCCATTCACTTTTACCGAACTATGTATTAATTTTCAATTTATCTTAATTTCATACGATTTTTATATTGACAATAATTCCCTGTCATCTTATTTTACTGATTTTAGTTACCCTCTGCTTTTGTTACAGAAATAAGGAAATCATCCTTGGGCTTTCATAATTCCCTAGTAACCTCCTAAGAAGTGCAATTTCAACTGCACGTGTCGGTGTTTTTACATCATAATTGTGTAAAATTACAGAAAGTTTAGTTAGACTGTCCTGTAATTAGGGATGGGTACCGGTATCGGTTCTGACATAAACGGTAGTAACCAGACCGAAAAGCACATTTCGGTGCTTTATTTTTCCTGAGCTGTGATACACTTTAGATTCTAGCCAATCATTTTACGTTTACGAGGAGAGTACGTACGTTCTTTTAGAGCAGAGCTACAGATTAAAAACGCCCAGGGCGAAGCGGTCAAAAGTCTGGCTGTACTTCACAGCAAAAGATGCAAACTCAGCAGCCTGCAACAAGTGCTTTAAGCTGATACTGTGATACTGTCAAAGGAGGTAACACCTCAAATCTGATGAAACACCTGGCGACGCATAGCGTTTTTTTTAAAAGCCGAGAAATGAGCCGTATTTGATAGCTTGCTGCGAGACCTCACACCGAGCACATCTACTGCGGGTGTGGTGCCTGTTATCGGACCCGGAGTTAGCAACATCCCCCAAAAACCCGAAGAGGAGAGTCCTGGCCCCTAGCCCTGCCAGTGTAGCAGAAATGATGACAGATGATGATGGCAGCAGCAGCCGTTCTTCTCTGTGTGAGTAGCTTAATGTTGTTCGTGTGTAATTTACATTGAGTAGGCTCACCACTAGGGCTGGGCGATATATCGAGTTTTTAAAAAATATCGATATATTTTTATACGAGATATAAGGTGTGACAATATCCTTTATATCGATATAGTCTATGTTACGTTATAATTATCCGGTTGTTCAATGATGACGCGACGAATCCTACTTCCGGGTCTAAAGTAGTCTGCGTTTAATATGGCTTTTGTGTTGTTAACATGTTTAATGTTTTGTATTTTCTTCGATTTGATCTCAAAAAGCTCCTAACACAGTCAGTGATCCCTGTTGACCTCCCTCAGCTTTTATTACCGCTAATCATTTATTTAAGCTCAGTTTTTAAAACCTTAGGATGTATACCGCCCAGCCCATGCAGCAGTATATGAATGACTAACCTCGTATTCTCTCAGTTGTTCTCCTGGCTGAAGTTTGGTCCTGTTACAGCATCCTGCCATGCGATTACATTTGTTCCTGACCACCGAGAACACTCACGTTAACTTTTATCGAGTGGAAAAAAAGTTAGCTTGTTTATATTATGCTAACATAGCTGTGTCGCTAGCGGTCACGTAGCACATCATTATATACCAGCTAGCCAAACTTCAGTAGCCCTACAAACGTCACTGCTGTTTAGTTTTCTGTCTTCATTTATGTTGGAAGTGATAGCAGAGCTGTACGTTTTAATTTGTTTCCAAAACCCCGCAGTCAGGACATGCTATATTGTATTTAGATAGAAGCTAGCGAGCTAACTTCCTGCTAACTTCTAATTACGTTAAATGTCATAAATTCCGTTTTCATGGATGCCTGGATGTTAAACTCAATTGTTACACCTGGTAGAGCAGAACGCTGATCATTTTATTAAAGATGAAAGACTTTAGACAGTTTTTCAACTCTCAGTAATGCCATAGTGATCGTTTGATATATGGACCTGCAGCGGAGTTTAGACCCAGACACGGCTAGTGACGTCAGACTGAACAATCGGATACTTGGAGCCGCAAGTTTGCCTCTCTTTCGTCCACTTTTGTCTTTACGCAACGTTACTCGGCCTCGCCCCTCCTCCTCTTACTTTATGGCTTTTAAAAAAAATATCGAGATATATATCTTATATCGCCGTCCAGGTAAAAAATATCGAGATATGAATTTTGGGTCATATCGCCCAGCCCTACTCACCACGTTATTAAATTAATGCATGTAAGGTGAACTAGCAAACACCGTCGTAGTTACATGCGGCCTTCACCCTGGCCAAAAAGGCTAAAATGACCAAAGAAAAAGTGGAAAACGATTAAACACGAGAGGTTTTTGGACAAAGTTTGTGTTTTTTCCATTGTTTAAGCACTGCTTCCAGCCAAGAGTGATACCATATATGCCCTCTAGCTGCAGAAAAGGCTAACATTGTTATCTTTTTACAAAAAAAACAGCTGAACATGAGAGGTTTTTGGACCAATTTTGTGTTCTCCATTCTTTAAGCACCGGTTTGAGCACCGGCACTGTTTCAAAAGTACCAGTTTGGCACCGGTATCGGATAAAACCTAAACGATACCCATCCCTACCTGTAATTATAAAATATATTTTTGTTGACTGATATTTTTTTTACTGAAATTTTTATTGTAGACAGGAACATTTGTTGTTTAATACTTTATCTAATTTGGTCTAGTATGAATGGCTGTGGAAGAGGTATTTATTAGCAGGAAAAGCTGTAAAATTTATTTTAAAAAATACAGTTAAAAGTCCAAAACTTTATACCTTCCTTCATATTCTCCAAAGCTGGAGTCCTTGTCAAGCCAATATTTCCCCTATTTCCTCCACATTTGCCTTTATTTTTTGGCGTCAATGTAAAGAAATTTGCTCTTGGTATCTCATCGGTTTAAATAAAGGTTGCATTGACTCACTACACAATCTTGTGGTCCAAAGTGGTATTACATCAAAGTGCAGCCTAGTCCTAATCTTACTTCTGTTGATGTCTCTAAACATAATAAAAGACACTTTAGACATAAATCAGTCTTTTCTTTTCTTTTGACTGATTAATGTCATTTTGGGAAGTTACACAAAGCGTGCTTTTACAGAGTTTGCAAATTACAAGCACAACATACAGTTTAAGGCCCACAAATGAGAGACAATTGAAGTTTTGATATCATTGTTTTTGTTTTTATTTTTATTGTACAAAAATACATTTCTCTCTTCGAGCAGCTTCTCAGTATGTGCGATGTGCAAAGAACACAAGTTGTCAGGTATTCAAGTACTTCTTACTCATTGGATTTGGAGGTAGGCCTTCATATTTCAAAACACAGGTATGAGGTAGTGTGCAACAGCTCCCAGTCATAGTTTAGTGCTGGAACAATAAAAATTGATGGATCCAGCTGATTGAGAAGGATTAAATACACTCCAATTTAGAGCAAAAGGAAGCCTATCGCACAGTATTTTTACAGTGATGAGGAAACCGTGTAACAATGCAAAAGTAAACATTTACGCAAAGAACTTTATCTTGAAATCAGGCC